GCTGCAGGTCTCTCCCGCGCAAGCTGCACAACCCCACGGTTCTGCAGCTCTCAGCCTGTCTGATCAGAGGGAGCCCCCAACTTGTGTGCTGAGGGGCCGTAAAAACGCAAGGGGGCTGTCACCGCAGTCTGAGGAGGGTATCTGAGGAACAAGGGGAGCCGTCCTTGTGTCTGCAAGCAAACAGGGTTCCATTAGAAGCAAGCTCTCCTGCTGGAGGACAGGACCAAGTGACTTTCATCACACAAGGTGACAGGGAGCACCACATAAATCCCCCCATCACAGCTGCAGTGTGTCTCTGGACATCGGTGTCCACATACATCAGGACACAGGTCCAGCCATTTTCATTGTCATCTACAGGATGACACGAACTGCACCTCATAGGTCCTTCTCTTACAAACTACAGTTTCAGCAAGATGAATCTTGTCTCACTAACGAGCCCAAGTTCTCCCCAGGGTTGGTGGATTGCCTGCAGCCAGTGCCAGGGTTTCTGGTTGCTTGCAAAGTGTTTTGGCTCCACGTGGATGCTGGGCATGGGAAGAGTTCTTGGATCCCAGAGGGTTACTCCCAGAGATAACCCAGCTCGTCTGGTCAAAAGCTCAGCAGATGGTAACACAACAGGAGACAATAGAAGAGGTTGATTTAAAACTTACTAAGCAAAAAAAGAGCTAGAATAAACTAAAATGAAGTGCATCTCGTTTGACCAGGAGAAAACAAGGTGGAAGCTGAGACTAGAGATGAGACTGAGCTGAAGAAGAGGCTGGGGGCAGGAGGGAGGGAGAAGAGACGGGGTTGTTCGATGCACCCAGCCTCTCCCACCCTAGGAATGCACAGAGACCAACAGCAGAATCAGAAATACACTTGGGGTAGTTATTTTGTTTAACTTTGCATATTTCTGGGGTTTCTTAGTGGAAAAAAAATGTTTTGATTTGAAGCTTTTATAAAGCTGACATGTCTGGCTGCTTCAGCTGCCACACAGCCCTGAAAAGGGAACCTGGTATCTGAAGCATCAGGCTTGGAGTGAGGGTTGGTCCTCGAGTTAATGAGCCACGCTCGATTGTTTATGCAACTGGGAACAGTTTCTGTGCCATGAAAAGAAGGAGACCGAACAGAGGTTATTGCTTTTTCCAGCCAAGGGAAGCGTGACAGCAGATGGCTCAAACGTCAGTGCAATCAAAGGAGCATTCAGTTCTGGTGGGGCTGTAGGACACCAGCATAAGCCAGCACGTGAGAACACACACCAAGCTTTCCTGAGTCCTAAGGCCAGTATACTCAGCCCCTATCAGGCCAGTAACTGACCCCAAGAACTCACCAGGTCTCACAGTCAAACCTTGCCTTCTGCTACAGAGCTTCTGCACGGTAACACAAGCCTCTTCTTTTTATCAAACAGACAATATTTAGCAGCACTACGCATGAGATGTTGCTCCAAGGCAAGATACAGTAGGGGCGTGGGTAGGCAAGGTTCACTCCTTACAGGAATGAGATGAGCCATGAGCATGTTCCTTCCACCTCCAAAATATTTCCTCCCTGTGATGCCATTTCAATCTGATATTTGCAAGGCGGCACCCCAGAGAGAAGATACATCCTCCGCATCCTTTACCAGGGAAGAAGCAGCAATTACCAAGAGCATCACCACGTGGAGCGCAGGAATGGCTGCAGGAATGTCCTTATCTGCTTGTAAGGACCTGGATGCGCAAGGGCGTAAAAGGCTCACTCCCCCAGCAGCAGCACTGAGGATTTCAGCTGCCAGACTGGCTCCTTATTGGGCTCCGGTAAGCTATTTGGATCAAACCTCACACCAGTTCTCAGCAGCCTGCCCTTTTGCTTATTTTAATCAGATTTATTTCTTCCAATGGCTTCTCACTAAAACGCCTGGGCTGAGATCAAAGGCTATGGCTAGACTCATCTCGCATCCTGCAACAACAATCTGCCAACACCAAGAGTTCACCTGACAAACAGAGCTTTCTTAAGCTGAGATCACACGGCCTGGAACACGGCACAAACCTTGGCTCACGGATCATTTGCACCGCAAGTCACATTGAAAAAATACATCACGAGTTAGCCAGAAACCACACCCAGGGCAGCTTCCCAGGACACGACAGCAAGATTGGCATCAACACCCTTCACTGGTGTCAAGTGAGGCTTTTTTAACACCGGTACTTGTATTCGTGCGTGGCATGTGTATTTCCCTGCTTTTGAAGGCAAGCATTTCAGAGCTGGCACCATGGGACTCAGGACTGAGCTGCAGAAAATGGCCAAATGTGCGCCTGGCCCTAAGTATGCAGATTCACCTGTGAGGAACATACTTGGGCAATACATGGTTGATACGCTCATACCACTCTTTTCAGAGGACTCTTTTCTTTCTTTTTCTTTCTTTCCTTCTCTTCAGAATGATTCATAGCCATCAGCTACCACAAAAAAACCCTCAAACGTCAATAACCTTACACAAATCCCACAGTCTCGGCAATATTTCCGCTTTCTTCTGAGAAGCACCAGCTGACTCTAAGCCCTTTCCATGCCCATAGCTGAGAGCACAGCACACATGTGTCTTTCCAGAGCAAATTGTTGAAAACCTTCTCACAAATCCTAGCACAAAGGCTGTCAGACACACACTTTGGGGTGGGGTTCTTAGTGCCAAAGCAAAAAAAAAAAAAAAAAAATTAAATTAACTTCAATAAAACAAGGGCACCTCTAGTAGAAACAAACAGCATCATCTTCACGTGCCATGCCAGCAGCACCCTTCGCTGAAAACCTGGAGACAGTTACAGTGGGAAATAGAGGACAACTTGAACATGACCAACACCGAGACTTTGTGTACTTGAAGAGTAGAAGCTACCTTCAAGTAACATTCTCCTTACAGAAAGTCTTTCTTTTCCATTTTCTACCCAAGTGACATGCTCCTCAAGAGCTTTCCTAAGAGGCCATGGAGCTAAGATGTATCATGTGCAGCAGTGAAGAAAAATGCGAGCGTTGTACAATAAATCCCTGCAGGGCATCTACTCAAGGTAGCACTGCTATCAGCAAAACACCTGTCTTAGCTTTAACCCCTGGAGGTGAACTGTATTTAAGTGACAGTAAAATTTCCAAAATCAATAGTGGTATCTATACTTTAACACCACATTAAAAGAGTTCTCAGCCTCTTACTGATGTGCACGCTCATGTGGGAGTAGGTGAGAACAGCCTGCCATGGTCACCAACCCCACAGCCCGTGCTGAGGGAGCAGTGCCGGACCTCCCCAACCCTCCCTACGGCCAGAGCGGGCAGATGGCACATCAGATACCTATCAGATGTGAATAGATCTTGCAAGATATACATTTCGTATGCGTGTGACTACTGCAGCGCACTTGGTGAAGCTACGCGACCCTGGGAAGCACATACAATATGTGTACCATTTTCACCCTGGGCTGTTTTCCAATCTCCAGTAAATCTGACGGTTATGACCTCTGCAGACCTCATCATCACACAGATCTGGATAGGAATAACACTGCCACTGAGAGCTTGAACAACCAGGTCATCATAAACAAGTCCTGATGTTGGGTAGCTTCCCTGGGTCAGAAAGGAAAGAGACCACGGAATTGCATGCGACCAACACCTTGCTGCTATCCCCAAACTCAGTGACTCCAAAGCCAACCAAATGAAACCCGTTTCAATCCATCCAAGCAAACACAGCCTGTCATAACATGCCCAAACTTGAGGCAGCAGGAAGATTTCCTTCTAGGATAAAGCAAGACTTGGTTCACCAGCCACAGATAACTAATACTGAAGCACAGAGAGGAAACTTCCCACATGTTGAGGGATGCTCCATTTTAGCTCAGCAATGCAAAGGGGAGCCTGCAAGACTGAGAACAGACTGCACAAAGCTCTGCCTCATGTGCCACTAATTAGAAAGGATTCATTTTCTTCAGCAAGGTTCATAACTCTGGAAAGAACAAAAGCTGCACATCTGCATGACACAGCTAAATCCAGCTGCTTGTACTTGCAGACCAGAGCCTCATAAAATTCTATGATTGCTATGGAGCCTGTCAGGGCAATGCTCCCAGCCAGGCCGCTGCACTAACACTCGAGGCTACAAGTGCTTTAGTCTGAAAATGGGGCGAGATAAAAGGCAATTTTTCATGTTTCACGTTGTGCTAAAGTGCGACCTGCCTCATGATGCCACCATGTAGAGCATGCAATCTACAGTTCACTTGGAGAACTGGAAGCTATTCTACAAGTAACTTTGTTATATATCGAATACAAAAGTTACTGAGGCTCTGTCAATGGATCACCACACATTTTCCTGAAATACCTTGTTCAGTCCTCTTAAGCCATGTTCAACTCAAAATAACCTGGGGTGGAGCAGACATTTGGGTTAAAGAAGGCAGCAGGACAATACATTGATCCTCAGGGACTACTGCTGCAGGGAGGGAGGCAGGCAATCCACCTCTTCTTCATACCAACTCCAGCCCAACAACCCCCAACCTGCACATTCAATACACAGGGCAATGGGAGGGACCAAGCTTTTACATTAGATGTAATAGAAAAACATTCTTTACTCTGCAAGTGTCTTTACAAATATATATTTATATATTTAAGCCCATTTCAGGCCATAAAAGCCCATAAAAAAACCAACCAGTACCTTTTTCAACAAGAGAAACTGCAATCCAGAAGTCTGCGGTGAAAGACTCCTACACAAGGGCTGCTTTGGCGCTTCTCTGAAGGCCTCTATTTAGCATATAAAACCATCTTAAAAATCACATCAGCCTTTTACCTGCAAGGAGGGGCACCATTTTTACCCCACCTTTACTACTCTCTGTATGAGGTAAACTGGAATCACTTTTACATAATCACTTAATGCTTTAAAAAGGGGATATTGTATCCTGAAGACCAGCTTTTCCAAAAAAGTTGTGAATGGGTTAAAAAAGATGCCGCTTGTGGATCCAACCACAATATGCTGTTGTCTCAAAATAGAAGTTGATACTAAAAAGCTATTCCAGATACATACAAGTACAAACACTAGAGCTGGTCACAAAGATTCAGTTTCAACATTTTTAAAAAGCAGGGAAAATTTTCTGCAGTGTGGCTTTTGCATTAATTTCCCATATCCTCACTTTTTTACCAGTTCTATTATACCCTTCAAAAAAAAAATCATGTGTCTGTTGTAAGAGTGCAAAGTCCATCCAAATCTCGTATTTAAGTTCACTATCACTACACTTTAAAAATCCTGATGGCAAATAAAAAGGTCTCGATTTAACTTAGCAAAAGTGATATCTAGAAAATATTCAACATCAAGAGGTCTTACAAAAAAAACTTCAGACTACTAAAGCATTCTAAGGCACAGTGTTTTGGAAGAAGTGCTTTCTCCCTTTAGTGTTGCTTTATACACATCACGTGTGTGAGTCCGAGTGACACATGGAGCTGCAGATGTATGCCACGCCTTCTCCCAGCCGGTGAATTGAATCTTTTGCTGCAGTTTCAGACGTAGGCTCCCAATGCTGCATGAAATTCAGTTAGACATTGCACCAGCTGCTGAAACTTGGGTCTTTCTTCAGGATCTAGGGCCCAACAGCAGGCCATCACAGCAAACCTGCAAGACAAAGACAAATGGAACACATGAGAACATAAGCCAGGCAACCACAGTCCCAACCTGAAAATGAAAACCAGCATTTGCCACCAGAAAACCTGCTGACCAGAGAGAGAAAAGGAACCCTGTATCTTCTGCTGCACAATGCTGGACAACTCCTTCAGAAGACAGACACCCAAAAGGATCAACAAATGAGTCATGGCTGAAAGTGCTGGTTTGATTTAGGACACAAGTCAGAGGCAATCCAGGAGGAAGCAATATTGTAATTCAATGGAAATTGCTCAACTACCGTGAAAGCATAGTTCAAAGTGTTTCTGTGGTAGGTTTATGGGAAGGGGATTTAGAACATGATGCAGAAGGCCTGTGCTCTTGCATCCTCCTATACCATTAGGATTACGAATAAACACCTCAAGCACTGTTGTTTAACTCCACTACACACAGTACTTCTCTGTAGTCTTGCTGAGAACGGACATTTTCTTTACCGACAGACTTCGGGGCTTCCTACACTGCCATCCCACAGACACCAAGCTGAAAGCCCCCAGTGCCTTTGCTTCCCTCCTCCCACCCTGCTGATCAACCCCATTTCTCCCATGTGTCAGAATTAGTTGGGTCAGGACTTAGTGAAACTCAACAACCACCACCAAACTTTCATTTTAGACTGAGTTCCTTGTCATAGGTCACTGAAATATAGCCACACAAATACTTAGACGAGGGTCAGCCTGAAAGGCAGACTGAACAAGCAGAAGGGGGCAAACCTGGCTCTTTCATCGACAGGGCTGGCTTAACATCCTCCTTACAAACCAGACATTTTGTCCTCTCTCCAAAAACATGCACTTACAGTTCATCAGGGCAGTTGATGGGCTGAGCTATTCGATAGCCATCCTTTAAATAAGCAGCCATCTCAAAGGGGTCGATATCGACGTATGGAGTCTGTCCTAAAGTCATCAGCTCCCACAGCGTTACTCCGAAGGCCCACTAAAAAGAAACCACATACAGCATTAGCAGAGCATGCCGAATTCTGAGAGCTCCTTCAGACATTCACAAAAACAGTCATAAGTAAGACGACAGAGTAAAAAAACTTTACCCAAACACTGTATGCATCCAAGTTCAACATGACAATACTTTGTCCTGAATAGGGACAACTAGGAATCACAGAAGTGGGGTTAAGTTGAACCAAAATTAAAATCTTAGTGCACTAAGATTTAAGTGCTAAAAAAAAAAAATCATGTATTTACTGCATTTTTCCAATATGACATTTCAAAACACTTAACAAATCTAAGGAATATTAAACACTAAACTCACTGTTTTGGAAAACTTACCAATTTTATATTACATTTTACCTCTTCAAAACACTACACGAAATTCCTCAAAAATTCTGAAATTCAAAGGTTCAGAAAAGCAGGCTGAATGAAACCATCGGTTTTTCAAATCAAAGTCATCTGTATATTTCCAGTATATGCTCAGAAGTAGGGCCCATGAGAAAAATAAAGATTTAATCTAAGTAAACCTGACAGCTGGATCAGCATCCGACACATTATTCAGCCAACAATACTTGCCAAAAGGAGCTTAATGTGATGAAAAATTAATCCATCAATTCGTGTGCAAGCATGGCACCAGTAAAATGATTTACTAGCTGGTATCAAGAGACCCAAGAGACAAAACCGAGTTGGTGCTGATAGCGCACACTGATGATTCACCGCAGAAGCTACAAGCGCTGCAAACATCACAACTTATTGAAAAGGGGCAGAACTCTGCAAGCCTCAAAAGATTCTTGGTTTTAATCAAAAGAAACGCCAAAGCCTGACCTAAGGGATGCTGTCAGCGGACACTGATGGGAGCTCAGAGCTGGAGAAGGGCAGGGGCACAGATGCAGCCCCACTCGGAGCGGCCATCCATCAGCAGTGCGGGAAGGCAGAGGAGGAGGACGTGCTTTTTGTTTGCAGTTAAGAAAAATGTCGAGGGACAAGTGGTGGTGCACCTCGAACATGAGAATAAAGGGCAATTCAAGCAAAACTACTCTGAGAATAGAGCTAGTTCTAATTCCATAAGTAGCTGCATAAAAATGGCATAAAGAGATGCAGAGCTTCACGTCCAACAGAGGGAAAAAACCCACAGAATTAAAACTCAACAGGATTAGTGTTTTGTTTTTCTGCGCTTTGGCTGACTGATATAACTGTTGGCAGAGGAGGAACACATTACAAATGTTTCAAGCTAGCAAAACCATTTTAAAGAAATGCATCCAAAAAGCAAGCCTAGAACACACGCCAATTGCATCTGAACAGGCACCACCTAAATTGTTTGTAACAGATTTCATCACCGATTAGAAGTTACGTGTGATTGATAACTAGATTTGTTCCTAGCAAGCAGACAAAAACATATTACACCATATTTGTGAAAAGCGTCCAGGTAAATGCAAAGATGATATTTAGGGCAGATAGTATTTCCTACACCCAGAAAAACTGTCCATTTTTGCACACTGCAGAACCCAGATAGCTATGTATGCTGAGTTGCATTTATACCAATATAATGCAAAAAGCAAAAAGGAGTTCTGTGCTAAAATAGCGTGGACTATATGCTGAATTGCACAGGATTTTTCTGAAATGGTTACGAGATGGAGATGCCTTCATCCTAATAAAACGCTACATTTCACTGCCAGTTATTTTCAAGTCCAGTCTTCACAAACAGTCAACGCTTCTGTGTTCCAGATTAAAAAAAAAAAAAAAGAAATCAACCTTTAAATGATCCCATTTATTATTATAAAAACATGCTTTAACAGGCAACTTCTATTTCCTGTTCTGTCTTCAGATTTGGTATAACACAAAACCCCACACATTTTCCAGTGAGTACAGAAGTATTTCTGGAGCAGAGCTGATTCCTTCCCTTCCTTCCTCTCTTTTTTTTTTTTTCTTTTTTTTTGTTTATGTGGCTTGAGCAGTAGTACAGAGATCATGGCAATGAGGGGGAAAAAAAACTAACCAGAACTTCTGAAAAGTTTTTGTAAACTAGCACACTTTAAGATGCAGATTACAATCTCTGGAGGTAGCCATGTTAGGGAAAGCATCATTACTAAAGAAAATAACCCTTTAGCAGGAAGACACAGATCATAAGGGCCAGTGGTTTACCATTAATTAGCACTCTAATTACCACAGGTTGATCTTCAAGGACAAGCTCCTGCAAGCACACAAACAGGCCATTCTGATGTGCAGGAAGCTGAGCAAGCATGGGAGAAAGCCACCATGGATGCACTAAGCTCAGACACTAAGGAAAGAGAGGGTGGAAGCAGGAGCAGGCTACTCAAGGAATACCGTGAGAATGCATCAGCATGTAGGGATGGAGTACGGAAAAGCAAAGCTCGGAGTTAAACCACCAAGAAACACCCACTGAGAAAAATGTTTAGGCTGCACTGAAGCCAAGTGCGTCCCCACCAGAGTGCTGGACCAGCCAGGATGCACCCAGGGAGCAGGCTGAAGTCATTGCAACAGTGCTCTCATCATCTTTGAAAGGCCACTGCAAGTCGGGGAGGTTGCTGACAACTGGAAAGAAGGTAGTTCTTGAAGAGGTGGGATCTGGGGAACTATGGTCTCCTGCTAATGTTGGGGAGAGCGTGATCGGGGAAGTGCCCGACTAACCTGACCAGTTATTTGGTGAGAAGGCTGTTAGCAGACACGGGGTGAGCAATGGATGTTCACCTTGACTTCAGCAAGGCCTTTGACATTACCTTCCACAGCATCCTTAGACCAAATTAGTGAGATGCTGATAATGAAGTGGCGGCACTGATGGACTCAAATTGGGGTCACAAGCAGTCGTGGTCCAGCCAGCAGCTGGTTACTAGTGGCACTGCTCAGGAATCAACACTGGTTTGTCTTCAGCGACTGGACTCGCAGGAAGTTTGTGGACGACACCAACCTGGGAAGAGTGGCTGACAGGCTGGAGACCCGGTTTCTGCAGAAGGACCTTGAGAAGCTGGAGAAATGGGCTGAAAGGAACCTGAAAGCTCAAGGAAAGCAAATATCTAGGAGGGAACAGCTCCAGGCACCAGGACTGGCAGGGACTGACCGCCTAGAAAGGGGCTTTGCAGAAAAGGCCCTGGGGGTCCTGGGGAACAAGCCAAACACATCAGCAGCACGCCCTTGAAGCAAAAGGAGCCAGCTGCATTCTGTGCTGCGGTAGCAGAAGTGTAGCCTGCAGGTCAAGGGAAGCAATTCTTCCCCTCTTTTCTCTATCTGTGAGACTGCAACTGAAATACTCTGTTGCGGACTCTGCATCACGCTCATTCGAATAGCGGACAAGTGCCAGTACAGATTGCTCATTTAATTTCATTGCCTTTTAGTTGCCTTTTCTGCCAAGGCCACCATGGAGAACAGGGTGCAATGGACAATTTTGCTGTGGAAGAAGGGGCTGCTTGACCTCTGAACTATCTGCCACAAGCACCAAATGCAGGAAGCAGATGCAGAGATGCTGTTCTGGAGAAATCACTGCTATTTATTCAGTGCCGTAGTTCTCCCAACAGCTGAAAAAAGGGAAAACTGTCAACAAAATACATTTACAAAATGTAAGATTAAAAAAACCCAACAAACCACAAAACAAACTTACCACATCACTAGCACTGGAAAATTCATTGTTAACCAGGCTTTCAAGAGCCATCCATCGAACTGGTCTGTTTTCGTTGTCTCCCAGGCAATGGTAGTCCATAGGAAATAGGTCTCGAGATAGCGCGTTGTCTGTAATCTTAACCTGAAGTGCATCGTCAATGCTAATTTAAAAGAACAGAAGTATTAAGCAAACTTGGTGTAACAGCTTGACATACAATCTTTAAGCTCAACCTTAAGTTTCAGACTTAGGATTGAACTGGGGAGCACTAATCACGTTATCAGCATTTCAAACAGCCGGCATTCTTCTAGCTCAAGACACATTTATTCTGTGACTATCAAATATTATCAAAGAATGTATTTATTCTGCGTTAACAGATAAGCAGTTGAAAAATCATCAGTCTTAGATTAAATAAAAATCAAACATTTACAAGTGTAAAAAACAGAGCTAAAGCAAACAAACAACTCCCTTAAATTATTCCTGCTCCCTTAGAGACCCCCTTCAGTTTAAACAAATTTTAGCTGTAGTACCTCTGTAGGAATAAGGAGCCAAAGGTTTATGCGAAGCAAGATCTAGTAAGATCTTATTAAAGCAACTGATATTATTTGTGGCCTAAAAGCTTGTCTCTAGTCAAGCAATCTGGTACGATATTACTTATTACCCTCACCAAGAGATATTCATTCTGACTGTTGTCAGAAATAGGATACTGGCTAAGGGAAACTTACTTTTAATCAACAAAAAAATGACTCAAAGAAACCACAAGGAGCCTACTGATATTCTTCCCCTCTGGGATGTTAATTCATATTCTTTTGAGCTCTAAAAAAAAGCACGTAATAAAGTTCAATGTTCTCATAAACAGCTGACTTCAGAATATGGGTAAGATGTTGGCTTTAACATCTTATGACAAAATATAGAAACAACATTGGATTAGGGGGATTGTAACAAAATGGTGTTAGCTGTCTTTTCACCTCAACACTTATTTCTTTACTTTGATGAGAAAAAATACATAAGACATGCTCAATTTGTGTCTCCCACTTCACTGTCTCAAGTACCTTCTTATTTATTCCATTTCTATGTACTTTCAAGTCATTCACTGCCCTCAAAATTCATAGACCAGTGAACTTCTGGATCTAATCACCCTTAAGAATTCAGAGAAATTCCTAGAAGACGTGTCTATAAAAAAACAGAATACAAAGGGTAATTTCCCAGTGATTAAAGGGACAAATGCTGTCACATGGGAAGTCAGTCCAAATTTCAGGGACAGGACCTGTGCTAGTGTGGGGACGGTGACCCATATTTTACTGTTAACCTCTGAGCCAGCCGTTCAGAGCTCTGTTACAGTACATGGCCCTACGGCAGACCACACACTAAAGGCGCCTGCTGTCCAGGAAAAGTAGAGACAGAAACTGGGCTTCCACTTCAAGGACCATGTGGGAACAATCAAAGCAAACCCCCAATCAAAAAAGGGTCCAACAAGGTGTTTTCTATCCCTGGGTAAACTGCCAAAGATATTCCAAGTTTTTATTAAAGCTTAAGGGAAACCATTTAGGTAAGTGAGCCTTTGAAAAAAATACGGATAGACAAAACCAAGCAAAATTATTTTAACATGAGGGTGTTCTGTTTTGTTAAAAAACATGCTTTCTGGTTCACCTTATGTTTGGGGAAAACAACTTCACTGACAAGACTATTCACCCAAAATTTGGAAAAGAAAAAACTCCATCCAGCAATATATTTTGAAACAGAGATCAGGTCCATGGGAGAAAGACCATCTGAGCCCTAGCGACTGATGTACTGCACAATGACTCTACTCCATTGAGTACTTACACACAGTTTCTAGCAGCCAGGTCTTTGTGAATGACTTCCCGTCTGGCCAAATAACTCATTCCACAGGCAATCTGAATAGCCATATGTACAAGATCCTGCTGGGAAATTGCCTGCAAGAGCACAGAAGAACAGTCATTGCAGAACTGCGAGCCCGGTGCTGGGCAGGTTGGCATTTCTGTCGTATTCCAGTGCCCCTCTCCTCACCTTTAGAGGCTGATGCTTTCCAGTACCTTATTACAGACACTATCACCTGTTAAAAACCATTCAGGAAGACTCCTTATTCTAACTTTTTTTTTTTTTTTTTTTTGACACGCCAGGGGCAACTGTTTCCAGTTTGCAACCACCTCACTGCTACGCAGCTTTTCCTTTGATCAGTGGTGGACTCAGGCAAAACAGATCAATTTTACCCTTCTTACCACACTTTTTTCCACTTTATTTCTCTGGAAATCAACTGGTTTTCAGGCAGCAGAGCACAAACAGCAGTCAAAATTCTTGTTGCTATCTATTGCTGTAAACTAGGATGAAAGGCTGTTGCTCCATCTACTTTTACAACTTCACAGTCCTATACAAATTAAACCCTTGCACATATTTATACCCCGTGTTCGCTCTTCCATTTCTACAGTGTTTCAGAAAGTCCAGTATGTAGGCGGACACGCTGAAGTTGCAAGATGGAGGTTAAAATAAACCAAATACTAAATTGAAACAATCATAAACTGGCTTCTTCATGAACAGGTTGTTATCAAGAACAACAGCCATGTATTATTTCAGAAAACTCAAGAGTTTGCTTTAGGCATTTGTAGAAGAGTTCCATCTCAGAGTAAGAACCTAGGAGACCCAGTGGCCCATTTTTTGATAGTTAAGTATGGTCATACCTAGTTATTAAGAGGCAACTCCTGCTTGACATAATACAGATTATAAATAGCATTTCTGCTTCAGTTCTTGGAAAGGGATATTAGTGCATTGCATTGGGATTTGTAACTCAGATTAAGCAGCAAAACAAACAAACTCAAAGTTGAAAGATCCTAGCAGCTTATCACAACTTGTAAATTAACAGAGGTAGTGGCCCTTGCTAGTGTGAAATCTGGTACATAACAGGGATAAATGCTGACCTCAGGAAATCAATTTCATTTTGTGCTCAATTTAGTCTAAAGATAGAAGCCAAACCAAGGTGAAGTTGAAGAAAAGACACGGTAATCCTAACAGGAGAGATAGTTGTAATACTTATACACATCCATCACTAAACACTTTTTCAGATTTTCAAAAACAGGCAAAATACGTTCTCATCTAGGAATGTTTTTTTTTCTCACTTCTCATGAAATACACGCAGCAGGTTCCATTGAAACATAGTAAAGTTATGAATGCTAAAGACCACCCACAGCAGTAAAAACAAAAAGAATCAGAGATGCCTTCGTTTAGTATCTAAAATTAAATAAGTCTAGTTACGTTACTTATACCCAATCTACAGCAGCACCTTAAAAATTTCACATTAAGAACTACAGTAAGTAAAGGGATAATCCGTTAAGGGTACCAAAAAAAAAAACCAAACCAAAACCAAAAAAACCCCAGTGAATTTTCCCTCTGTATTCCAACTTAAATCTACAATCAATATACCACTTTAAATTTTTTTTTTAAGATTTATTGATATACCAGCTCCTAACCCAATCAGACTTTAACTCCACTTCATGCCCTCTGAACATCTGTGACAAACCAGCCAAGAATGTTTTCCTTGTATGAATCAAAACAAACACTTGCTAGGGAAGCTGCTTGCTAATTCTTTTATTGTCATGACAGAACAGGTGAATATCACAAATATTTTCTTTAAGGCACATCCACAGCTGACAAACCAAGCTTAAGTTTAGTGGGCTAGAAGTCACAGATTTCTGAGCATACCTGAGGATTGTTGGCCTCCACCAGCTTGCACTGTCGCAAGAATAGTTTAAGGTTCCCCCAGTTCATGTATGGCAGCAGCACCATGGGTTTCTCTCCCTCTTCTATACAGACGTGAGTGATAGGTAGCAGATTCCTGGAAGACAGGGAGAGAAATTCCTAATTTTATGAAACTGAAATGTGATAAAATCTTCTCAATCCCCAAATGCATTAACTGAAAGTAATTCACCACTGAAGAAAAGCATTTAATCTTGCATTACAAATTGCAGAGCACAAGGTCTCCAAATAACTGAAGCCCTAGATATTAAAAAAAAAAAAAGATATTTGAGTACCTTCCCACTAGGAAGAATCCTCCAAGTTTTTCACTTGGGCTAAAATAAATTTCCGTGAATATACGTTATCATTTCTATTAAGAACTGACATATCCTCAACTTGGAAATGTATCATTCTGACTGCAACTATAGATATAAAATATAGAGCTCCATTACAGAGTTGTTGGAAAAAAGTCAAAACATCATGTTTGATCCACTTCAAAGTGACAGAACAGTAATCTTCAGTTTTGAATCAACTAAACATTAAGTTGCAGTCTAATGGCAAAAGTATTTCAGGAGTTTTATCACAGGTGTTTTACTGCTCCTTATGGCTCAGCTAACCCCCACGCTGCATTGCTTGAACACCAACCTACAGCATCAACACATAAATATGTAGAAACTTGAAACACACTACATACAGTTTCAATATTCTTTAGATTGTATCTTCTATTGAAAACACACTGGGAAGTCTTCAATGAGTTGTTATGAATTTTTTAAAAGGGAACTTTGAAATTTCCTGGTTTTACTTGAAGTCTGATAGTCAGGTGTCACACCCACGAGCCCTACGTACCCATGTAGCTCTACCTTCAACCAAGATAAAGGTCCCAGATTTATAGGCACCGTAAAGAAGAAAACCTTCTCGGTCTTTTTAAAGAGTTTGACTTCTAAAAGGGAGGATAACAACTGATTCTGAATTATGAGAGGGGGGTTGTTTAATTTTGTTTCAATTTTAAGTATGTTTCCCCAGGAACCTGCTACTTCTCTTAACAAAATAATCCTGTATTTTAGGCAAGGTCTTAACTACAATAATTCTTAGAAAAGCAGCTTGTAAATGCACTGCAGAACTAGTAATTTTGCTTGAACTATTCTCATTTCCTTCACATTACCAGCAACATAAGATCAATCACAAGGCCAGGGACTTGATGATGAGCGCAGGTTTCTTCTTACCTGCATCCTTGCCAGTAAAGAGGATCTTCAAGGCCAATTTCAGCCTTTAATCCAAGCTGCAAAACTGACACTAACTCAAGGGGTTCAGGGCACCAATTTACAAACTTAAGCCAATACCTCAAAAAACCCACGTCATTAATTCTTAAGAAATAAATCCCTTCAGTGACGTTATGACGCTGCACCAGGACAACGCGTGTGCCAGGGTCCTAAAAAGCCTTTCCTTGTCTCCATGTGGGAAGGTACCTGATCACAGCACTTTGCTGTACCACGTAGAAAATCATGAACAATACAAAACCAGACTAGTAAATTAGCTAAACTGACGATCAACCTGCATATACACTTACTCTTGTCACCACAAAGATCCCATCCCATTTAACAAGAACTAGCACAAATCAACACATGCCTGCGGCACCTTTTTCTGTAATAACTAAGAATATATAGAAGGAATATCTGCTTATATTTCACCGCAAGGGTTGGAACACCAAAGACTTTCCCCACTTTCCCACACGCTGCTCTTATTTGATTTTACTGACTGTGCAGCTAGGAAAAAAGCTTATAAGCACCCTCTTCAATAAGAAGCATATCTAGAATTCTGTATTTTAAAGTGACACAAGAATAGTTTCAGCTTTTTACAGCTTAAAAAAAAAAACCTTCAGATGTACAAAATGTTACTGAACTCTGAAAAAAATTTTCCTCTCCCCCTAGAAAGCTTTAAGTATTTCAGCTGGCACTGATAGTTTTGCTTACAAACACTGCTTAGCTTACCTGTGATGAAGTCCTCTGAGTTTACAGCTTTCAGTCAGCATCATTGTCACTTGTACCTCTGAGGCTTGATCTAATGAAAAAAGAAAAAAAGGACCACAGCTATAACTTTGGAAACAAACCAACATATTAATTAATATTTAGTCCACATTTCCAAGTCAGTCAAGGTCATTTGAGAACAAACAGAACTTGTTTGCCTACTTTTTAGAAATGGAGTCTAAAAACTCCATACAAGCAAGCCAAGTTCTAGGGCATATTTCTGCTTAAGTATATGGGGTGAAGCCAAAAAAGGAAATAAAACACACTCCAGGTGCTGACAGACTGTACTTTTGCCACTTCCTGACAGCTTCTGGGCAGGCATGAGCCGCCTGCACTAGGCAGCACGGGTCACATCCTGCACACTGGGCCGGTGCTGCTGGAAGAAGGGGAGCGTGCCGTGCATTTTCCAAAAGCACAGATGTGCTCAGAGACGCTGGTTTGCTGCCGAATTACCAGTACAGGCTCCTGCAGTTTACTTCCACGTTGATGGGAGACTATTTATTTCTAGATTTATTTCTTTACTTGCTCTCTACTTGAAACACTTGACCCTTGGTAACTTTAGAAATGTTTGCTGTTCTCTTCCCACCTTTCAAAAAACAAAAAACCAAAAACCCCAAACCAAACGCTGCTGCCAGTTAAAATTCAAGCATCTGTCTTAACTCCAATAACCCACAGCAATCAGAACATCTACTGGACAGAAGTGCTGCCTGTCACCCCTACCCCACAAATATTTTTGTGTTTGTATTTTTTTTCCCACCTCTCTGGTGGCAAGAAGCAACAGGGAAGCTTAACACCATGTAAATCAGCTCTCACAATCCCACCCTCATCAGACCTGGGTGCATTTTCTGTCCCTCCTTCGTGCTAGGACTAGTACCGGTGCACCTAGGCAGCAAGCTAGCACAGGAGAGAGCCCAGCAAAGGCCAATCAGTTTTTCTTGCTGCTTTAGGATGAATTTACATATTACAGATGAGTCAAACCAACATTTTACTGCCCTGGGAGGAAGAAGAGAAGAAAACTCATCTGCTCTTTTGCCTTCTTCACGGTCTTACCCTCCTCCCCGTGCCAGCTCTGATATCCTTTCCTAACTGAACTTTAACCCTGCGAAAGAAAACATGACTTTTCACTGAGTTAAGCGCAGTGAACGTGGTCAGTGCAGATGAGCATGTGGTAGTGAAAGAAAGCACAAAGCCCAGAGGGAGAGCATGGCCTCCCTCTTATGGCAACAGCAAGCTAAATAGATCTAACAATAACATACGAACTGGCTTTTAGCTTTTCAGATATGCTGGAAGTGGAGTCAGCTTCAGGCACAACACAGCTCCTGCCTAAGAAAGGTTCATCAAAAGAGAAATCGCGCAATTCAAGAACCTGTGATCCACAAACCATGGCTGAATTGAGCAAGTTCCCCTAAGCCAGGGAAAGAAATTATATCCCAAGGCAAATGACTTCAAAGGCTGCTTTACTACCTCAGCTCAGGAGAGATGAAAAAGGAGGCATGCCTTTCCAAAAGCATACAGGCACTAAAAAAGGAGATGAGGAAACGGAGGTTATAAATGCAGATAGAGATCCCAGCCGGGGGCACTGAACCCTGAGCATGCTTGGAAACCCCTAAGGAGCACCACTGCCCAGTCCCTGTACAGGCTGGAAGGACCAAGACCACCAAAACCAAACACATAGCGCTCCAGAGAAGCCCAGACACAGAGGTTGCGTGAGGTTAGTGACAATTATGGCTATGGCATATTATAGAGTGCATCAAACCAGTGCATTTCCTTGTATTTGATAACAAGTAAGTACACGGGGAGGGTAGGAACAGGCTCTTGCAGTGCAGGAGACATTTAAGTAATGGTCAGCTGAAGCCTCTAGGTCCACACAGAGGCGTGGGAAGGAGAAGGTCCTACCTACTGTGCAGCAATAGCACGCCAGTGTTTTATATGTGATGGACTTGATACGTAGGAGACAGACTTCAAAAGGCTTGTAAACAAGTAAGAAAAATGAAGATACTACATTAAATTGAAGTTCTATAGGCATGAATAGCTGAATCATCCAACCTCTATAAAGGGGAAGAAGCATTAAAAATAGAGATGTAAAAAACATTCTAAGGAGTTAGAGGAACTGCCAGCAGGCTACTTGTTTAAATACATTAATTTCTAGAACTCAAAGACCACAACCTCTTCAACCCAGCATATGACGAAGAGAGGAAAAAGATTACTAGGTGTGAGTTTAGGCTGATTAACTCGCTTATACATTCTTTGGCCCTGTGCTTGCTTAACTCGTTTGCTTTTAATTGTAAGAGCCACCACGCAATAACTGAAAGCTCTAAATCAGAGATTATTTAAGACTAGCTTTAAAATCTACAAAACGAGTTCATCTGGTTCAGACAATGTACCTATTCATCTCTTCACGCTAACGCTGGAGGAGACGACACTCTTGTGCCGATGCCTTTCCCTTTCCATCACGCAGGGTGTTTTTCAGCAGGTCACGGTTAGGGTTCGTTGTTTTCTTTCAGCTCGGAGACACTATGCTATAGTCACCCAGCACCCAAAAGGACAATTGACTCCCATTCAAGTATATACGGAAATCTAAATCTTATCTTGTGAAACAGTCCCAGCATCCGTATTGTGTTTTGTTATCAATATTATTTCCTTGTTTTCTGTATGGAAAAAAAACTTACACAACATCAACAAATTCAACATGTTCAGGAAAAACAATAGCAATGCAAAGCAAATCCTGCTCTAGCTGAGGCCGGTGCCAGTTTAGAACAACCACACAATTTGATTATTGGGGTTTTGTACTGGCTATAATTCAAAACAGAATATAAATCACCACTTCTTTGAGTGATTCTAGTCAAAAGAGGGTAAAAACCCCCACCAAAATAATGCTACTGCAACGGTCCCCACAATTAGACTTGCTTTTATGGCCGTTTTCTTTAGTTACACAAAAAAAAGTATTTAGACAAACCCTCAGTCACATTTAGTAGATTATAACCACTTCCGAGCATCCAACAGACAGGTCTTCACAAAGAAGGTGATTTTGGTAATAAAACATCTTATTACAGAGGACCCAGTAAATCTGACCATCCTGCACTGAAAACCCTTAAAAGCCATCGAGGAAAAAGCCAGAAATGCTGTGGATGAGACGAGAAATACACAGTCCCCAGAGCAGAGCCAGCGACAGCCGTGACCCAGCAGTTCCAGCCTGGGGAGACTTTTTTATGAGGACGTACTATGGTGAATCTACAGATTTCATCTTCCTGCCTGGGTCAAAGTGCAGTCCTGTACCGAAACCAAATATGAAATCTCTGAGCATCACACGTAAGCACGCACATGTGGGCATTTCATGAAGAGAACTGTTTGCGTGGCCACACAAAACGAGACCTGCGTAACAATCTTGACAAACACACCAGCAAGCCCACAGGCTTTTGTGGCTTGTTTTTTCTGTACTGGATCTGTGAAGTCATTTGATATGAACACAGCCACACACGCAGCTAAACAGGGGGGAAGCCTCCCACAGAGCCAGAAACCTGTTAAATTAGAATAGCAACTTAAAGCCACGAGAGAGGAGGCTGTAGCCTCCCATATATTAAATCTGAGCATCAGGAAACAGCCCCAAGTTTAAGGCAAACACTCCAGGGCAAGGCAACAAGGGCTTGTTGCACAACTTCTTCAAAGCCTTAAAAAAAAAAAAAGCTAAACTTCCCTCCGAGATATTAACGCTATTTGTGATTAAGAATATGTCAGTGCTCAAGAATTCATGCAGTTGCAGCCTGATGATTAAGAGGTTTAGCCGGGTCAGTGCTTCTTAGCCCTGAAAGAGCATCATCTATTTTCACAAGTCCATCACCAACAGCTGAGTCACTGAACAGAACTTAACTCACGTCACACAAGTCAAGAGAAAGATTTAATATCAAGTAAGTAGTAACTCTACATGTTCAGTTAGGACCAAAAAGGTCCAACTTTCAGAGGGTGCTTAAAAAAAAAAAGACTGAGATCGATGTAAATGCATTCCAGAACTAGGAAGATGCTTTCAAAGCACTGGTTTTACCCTTTCTGCGCCAAGAGCCTGGCTGTGAAACTCTAGCCTAAGGCACAGAGCAAGAACAAGCCAGGGTTTCAAGAAGCTTTGATAGGGCTGCAGGTTTATCTCATGATATTACGTTATTTGTATATAGCTAAGCACAATGGGGCTCTTGGCACTACTATTTTTATATAAGAGGCTAATCTCTCCACACAATTCTGGCAAGCGTGATATGTGCTGAGGCCCTTCCTGGTTCACGGGGAGAAAGAGCACCAACTTGATTTTTACCAGCTTCTCAAAGTCCATCTGCAAACCTGCATTTTAAAATCTTTGTTCATCATCAGTCACACAAGTCACTGTAACACTCATGGGGAAAAAAAAAAAATCTCTGTGAAGTCTGCGATGACACTAACATCGCAGGAATTTCCTTGCTCCAAGACTAGGTGCTCATAACAAGTGCAGAGCATCGGGCTCTATATTCACTAGGTGGTAGCGTATCAGAAGAGAGTCACTCCACACCTCAAATTACTCACCAGAGATGAAAAGCAGCAATTACCTGGATATTGCAGTGGGTTACCTGATTAGCTGGATGGCTTTCAAGAATAACATTTCAAGTCAGACCTCCTAGAATCTCAAAATAGCAAAGCACAGCATCAAAGATTGTAGCACAGTCACTGGTATTTATTTCTTCTGACGGAAGACAAAAACAGGATCTTAAGATCAATGTAACCACGTGTTTCAAATGGAAGCAAGTCATTCCAGAGCCCTTCCACAGCCTACGATGGGCAGTAACACACAGCAATTTCTTTCAGCACTCCTGTCAGAAGCAGCTCTACACGTACTACAGCAAGAAAACCTAAGGCATAAACATGTCTCCTGACAGCGATATTTAAAAAGGATGTTTTACCTGAAGTTTTCTTCACCTTTGGACCATTTGCAATGTCTTGTTCCCATGCGAACTTCCTTCTGTCTCACACTGCAAGCTAACATTCCTCAACATCAGAACACTTACACAAGCCATT